AGTTTGTAACTTCTACACCAAGTAGAAGCGGAACAGTAGTCAGTATTTCCACCTGAGCACTTGAATGTGAATCCGAAATGAATACATTTGAGTTTAGTGCATTGCGAAAACTATGACATTTTCCATAAGGTAACACGTCAATGTAATTATTGTTATGGCTTTGAAATAGATTTCCTGACCGAAACAGCAGGTGAAATTGATTGACATTGAATAAACATTGTGGCACAACAAAATGGTTCCGCACGTATATAGCAGGACGTCCATAAGTGTCTGCAAGCTGAAAGTTGAAAGGATAACGGCACAGTTGGTGGTTGTACTATTTACACAACCCAAGTGTTGACGTGTTAGAGGTGCCTCTTCTGCTTGGACAACTGCTTTTAATAAACTAAAGTAATTCAATGTCCTAACCTGCACAAAAAAAAACTTCAAGAGTATTCATAGGTTTTTCAACGAGTATGAAATAATTATGCAGACTTTTAAGTGAATAATAGGATTTCTTTTAGATAAAACTAAAAGTGAATAGATTAAAAAATACTAAATTATATTATATTGAAATTGTCTTATTTAAAATTTTCATTTCAAATAAACTGAAAATAACAAGAATTACTAGATAGATAGTTAGATAGATTAAATTTGTTAGCTTAAATCAGATTGCAATACAATATAATAGAATTAAATAAAAAGCTATAGTATCAAATTGATTTATTTGTCGTAATATTTTTTATAGATTTCCTGCACTCAGTAAACACATTAAATATTTATTTATACAAATTCAATTTGTTAATCAATCAATCCATTTACACACTTTACCATTTAAATTATTTATTTATTTTATGTTTTACTAGCAACACAGTGCACCCGTGTAGGTCATAAAAAATGTACTTCAACCAATCAGTTTATTAATTTTTGCTTATTTAATAAAATCAATTACAATAATTTATTTTGATTAATTTTTATATGATATTATTTATAAGAAATAATAAGTTTTTTTAAGGGTCAATTAAATTCATTATATAATTTATTGGATTTTAACTACATTCTTCGAATCTTTCACTTTAACAAATCTTTATATATATCATAAGAAATACTTTTCTATACATAAGTATAAGCATTTTTATAAATATTAGTTATTTCGGGTTGGTTGGTTGATTAAAATGGTTAATCAGCAGATACTCTACTGCATCATATAATTATCAATTATTTACCAATTTCTTACCACATTACTTGCAAGAACCCCTTGTAGATAAACTATAATAGATAATTTAAAACAGTTAAACTATAATAGATAAACTATAATAAACGTTTGATCTTATATACAAATCTTTTTTTTTTGACGTTGGGCAATCTAACAGATAATCAAGAAAGAACTTCTCTTTAATCTGCTAACTAAAGCTGGATAGTCCCAGTGAAATTGTATCGGTTTCCCTTCGCACAAGTTTTCGCAGTTTCTACAACGAGTGTTGAACGGAAATCTCAGTTTCTCTACGTGTGTTACTATGCATCAGTGACTTCAAATAACTGCAATTAGTCTATCATTAGAATTTGCTCTCTATTAATAAGAATCCCGGACCTCATCTTATTATATGGCGACCAGTTAAAATGATATATTTTACATATTTTAACAGACCTTTATCTAGCTTTAGCTAACTGCGGAAAGATAGATACTTCTTGTAACGGATGCTAGAGAAATATAAGCCGGTACTACTATGTACACATAGAAGTGCTTTAAAACCTAGTTTAAAGTATAACAAAAAGGATTTCGACGTATATTTTCTCCGTCGCTTGAGTTCCTCTAAGCGGGCGCAATAAAAACTTGGAATGATTATTTATTTTGATACATAGTTAGACGCTTGAATCTTTATGTATTTAGCGTTAGTTCTAATAGAAACTGAAGGTAGGTGTTAACACCCTTATTGTTTGCTTTGTGTGCTCCTCATTTGATCGACACTTAGAAAATTGTTAGGTTTTCTACCTAACTTTTAGTTTGCAACAAAAGTTGCAAAGTTTGTTTAAAGTATAACAAAATCTTATAAAACAATATTATAATATTAATATAACATATTATAACGTTTGCTAAATTATAACACGAACCGCAAATATATATATATTAGGTTTGTGATCGTAAATAATGGGATAGAATTAAACTTAATATAGTACGAGTATCTGTATACCTTTAGACTATGCCATATCAGGATAATGGTAACTGATGATATATTATATACTTCACGGAATTAATCTATTTTTCGTGTCGATTAACATTTGACAGAACATAACAGAACATCATGAATCTACAGAGGAAAAATCGATAAAACCCGTAATCTCTGGTGGTTTTCGAATTATCCCAATGGCATGAATAAGTCTACGTTAGTGTGGTCTCTAAGTGTGACACTTTGACGTCTCCGTATAACGGGCATCCTCCGCTTGTAATATAGCGGATTTCTGCCCAGTTCGGTTGTCAAAGTCGAGTTCTCATCTAGAGGTAGTTGGTTATCCGGAAGTCCCTCTTTAGGAGTGGGTCAGTAAACGTTTTTACTAACGGATCTAAAACAAGTAGTGTAGGCAGTGGAGTTTTTTTTAGAAGGAGTTAACTTACTATATTGCAGGTAGAAATCACTGCTTTTAATGAAACTACAGCTTGTCTGGAAGTGGATAACATATTTACTAAGAACATATACATGCTATCATACAATCAAACTGTTTTAAAGTCCTAGAGTTTAGTCAAATCCAGGACGGTTTTTTGCTGCTATACATCTATAAACAATATATAGACGCAATTTCTCTAATCTGGCTACTCGGCCATAAGAATGTTTTAGGCAAATTCAAGACAGACGGTGTAGCTAAACAAGGTAGCCAGATAATATGTTTTCATTTGGAACACCTTAAAAACTAACCATATCGTTGACATAATGCAGAGAATTGTTGCTAAGTTTTTTCTTTGCTGTACTTTTTTATATGGGAATACTTAGCGATATGTGAGTATTGGTAGGAAAGTTGACTACATTCTATTAAAAAGAAATCGAATTCTCTTACTGAGATATCCCGTAGAGATATCAGTCATACGGTAATTTTGCTCACAGGTCATAACACATTAGGAAACCATAATAGAAGATTGTTCCTCCCTTTTAAGATTTCTTATCGCTGTTATAGGGAGGATGATGTAAGTGTCTCACAGCTGTTTTATTTATGTCTGGCGTATGCTCGCCGCCGTTTTACTATTTTTGGGGCCACTTCTTTTGGTCAACTTCAAGACCTCCTATTTAATTGCATTTTAAGCTTTGCCCAAGGGTTAAGGTGAAACATGTTTATCTGTCTCTTAAACGATAACACAAGGACCTTTAGAACTAATCGGATGCCTTTGGATTACCGATATAACTTAATCTAACCATAACAAAACAGATATCGACGAATCTTCTCTACTCACTTAAATTTCTATTAGCGAAGCAAAAAACTGAATATAACGAACATTTATTTTGTTAAATAGTTTAGACGCTCTAACCTTTATAAAGTTGATAATGATTTTAATCATTAATAGATCTGTATATACGCTAAAATCTCCGATACACCAGAGTGTTTTGAACCTTTTTTATAAGGTAATATTTTGCAATTTTGTAGTTATGCAGCACATAGCTATTTTGCATAACTTATTAATCAATAGAAGTATATAAACAAACAAATAGGTTTGTTATGTACTTGCATATAAGTATTTAAGTAAGCATATATACCTAGAAGTTAAAACATATATAAGCAACCATATATACAAATTAAAACAGATAAAGAGTAATAGAGTTAAAAGCAACAAATTGCTTTTTTTGAGTGTTAAAATGTTAGTAGTTTGATAGATACAAATATGTATAAAGATATAAAGACGTCAAAAACAAAAAACAAAAAAAAAATAAATATTAAATATGAAAAACATTTTAAATATGTTCTTTTACGAAACAAATTTCGAGTTTAATGAAAGTATTCAAAGGATATCAATCTGCGAGAAGTAAGAAAAAGATTTGTTGAACAAGCGAAATAGATTTTCAATTGCTAAACAATTTGTATCTAAAGGCATAGATATTTTTCTTTGTTAAAAAAGACTATGCACTCAACAAACATGAACCTCAGTTTATTGTAAAAAAGAGAAGTCTTTTGACCAATTAATAATCTGCATTTGGCATGGTCTCGTTTTTGTTCTTTGTTCAAACAAATAGAAATTGCAGTTGTTAGTAGTGTGTCGGTTATATGACAATTATTGGCCGTAGGTTATGAAAATATTGGTTTGCTTGCACCTACACAAATACACAAATACACAAACACCATTTAACCAAACGGAAACTATATAGCAAATACCCATGCAAGCAAACACACTAAGTTTGCTACACAACCGCAACGGCAATTATCAATGTTTGTGCAGGAAATGCGCCTATAAGCAGGCAACAATAAAAACGCATGTTTGAGTGCTGTCATAAGTTAGTGAGCCTGTTGATTGTGGCTTTTTGCATTTTATTGAGCATAAATGAATTTTATATGGCAATGCGATGAATAATTGCCACAGTTGCCAGCTCGGCAATGTACCTCAGTGCAAAGTTCATAAAATGAATTTATTTACTTTTTATTGCACACACGCATACCCCATACATACATTTATGTGGCAACACTTAAAACACAATTGATACAACAAGCACATTTACACGAACAGAGCTACAAATTGAAAATTAACAAGCCGCAATTAAGCGTTTCATTGTTTTGTCAATAAAATCTAAATTGAGTTTTACAAGAACAAACAAGATAAAATGTTCCATAATAAAATGTTTGTGGCATGGCAAGTGTGCGATTGTTAGACGATGTACCTACCACATCACGATGTCGCAATGCTTGAGGGTGCATGGGATGGATGGAATGGATGTGTATCTTAATTAGTTTTTCGTATTGTTTTAGGCAAATTTTCGATATTAGATTTAAGATTGATTTTTAATTTGATTTCGTCTAATGAATGTGCTTTTGATCTTTGCAGAATGCTGGGAGGCGTTGCCGGTCGACATATGTCGAATCGACGCAGAGGTTCATCGCCTATGGTGCGTTTGAGCGGTGGTGTGTTATCCAGCTTAGATGACAGCGGAGGCGGTGGTCCGGGCAGCATCGGCATGAATGCACAATATGTGCCAAAAATACCACCGAGGCGCAGACGTGCCGTTACAACCAGTGACCACAAAAGCTGTGCACTTATACAAACGAGACTGAAATTAGGCGATATAATGTAAGTACATAATTAATCACTTTCGCATTGTAACATGTATTCGAATTAATTATAATTGCACTAATTAACTTGCACTGTATCAGGATATGCCACGTTGTTGTGGCTAAAGTGTTAATTAAATCCAATTCGCATTTGTTGCACTTTTATACATGAGGGAATTCTATTCGATTTGTAAATATTAATTGTGCTCTCATTATAAACGTCCTTTATTATTGACTATAAACCAATTGAAAAATGTTAAATAGTGGTAATTTAAAATAACTTTGGAAAAATAAATTCTATTCGGTTTGGAAAAATTAATTGTGTTCTCATTAAAAACCGCTTTTATTATTGATTTTAAACCAATTAAAAAATTTTGAATAGTAGAAATTGACTGTGTTTTCATCATTACCCGCTTTTATTATTGATTTTAAACCAATTAAAAAATACTAAATAATACTACTATGTATTGAAGTACAGTAATTTTATATTTAGTTTAACATAGTGTTTTTTTATTATTAAAAAAAAATTAATTCCATAAAGAATTTTTTTATACCAACAAAATGTTTTTTACAATTTAAATGAAGCCTAACCAGAATTGACTATGCTAGGACCTTACTTTTTCAAGGATCTCGACCTTTCTCTAAAGAGCTCTTTAGGCTTTGCTAAAGAGCAAGCTGGTTTTTAAACTATTAATTAGTCAATAGATCTAACTAGATCGTCATGATTGTTGGTATAAACTAAGGCAACATAATCAGGATGTGATAATTCATTCATTCTGCAGTATTATATATACCTTATGATCAAAATAGAACGAGAAGTTAAAAAAACACGCAAAATTTTAATTTTTAATAATTTTCTTTATTATCGCCTTCAAAGTACTCTCCTCCTGCGGCAATACATGCATGCCAAAGCTTGATCCAATTTTTCATACAAGTTTTATAGGCCGCCGAAGGGATGGCCTTTAGTTCACGCAGCGAATTCTCTTTTATGGCCTCTATGGTCTCAAAACGCGTTCCTCGCAATGCCAATTTGAGCCGGGGGATGAGGAAAAAGTCACACGGGGCCATATCTGGAGAGTACGGTGCTTGGTTGATGATATTGGTGGAGTTATTTGGCCAAAAACTGCAACACAACCAACGCTGTGTGAGCCGGTGCGTTATCGTGGTGTAAAATCCATGAGTTTTCCTTCCATAAAGCCTCTTTTTGCGAATGGCGTTGGAAATCAATACCAAATTTTTTCGACTTCTTTGTATAGACGCCAAACAAAAACTAATCTTACGATATACGGTAAATTTTGACTGAATGTGTATAATAGTGTTGCCAGCGTGAAAATGAAAAAAATTTACCGATTGGATAAACACGGAAATTCAAAAATTCTCGTTCTTTTTTGATCACAAGGTATATTAATATTTTTCTTCCAATTACACTGTAAATCTTTGCTATATTAATTTGATATTAATTTCTCAAATATATGAAGTCATTTTTAAACTTTAAACTGAGGAAAAAAAATGTACTTAACCGTGTTTTTAGATGTCTCACAGGCATTCGATAAATTCTGGCACTCCGGATTGCTTACCAAAGTAAAAAATATTCTCCCAACGGTATATTATGACATAATTTCCTCTTATCTATTCATCTATTCAATCTATTCAAATCTATCTATCTATTCTATCTATTCAATTCAAATCGTTGAAATGGTTAATCGGCAAAAAATCAAAACTATCGCTTTGCAAACTATCGCTTGTATTATACAAACAAATGCTGCAGCCAATCTGGACATATGGAATACAGCTATGGAGTTGCGTAAGCAGAACATAAATTTCCATCATTTAATAATTCCAAAATTTTTTGCTACGGAGTGCAACAAATGTGCCATGGTACGTGAGTTATTCTGACTTACATCGTGACCTCAGAGTGTCAACAGTTGGCACATAAATGACGTAGACTTAGAGATAGACTTAGTTGCCACATAAATGCTGAGGTGACAACTATGCTACTAGCGATAACTGAGCCAATACGCCGTCTAAAGCGCCAAAAGCCTTGCGATCTTTGGACTTAAATTATTGAAATGTACTACAGTTGATTTATTATTGTGTAGAATCGCCTAAATCTGTTTAAATGTAAATTGCTTGTTAATTATCTAATAACTAGTTGCCTTATGTCTTGTTTTGCTTTATTTATTGTTTTTGAATACTTTAAATAATAAGACAATTAAAAAAAATTACAAATAGTGCTCTTATTCTCAAAATATCTCTTTAGCAATATACGAAAATATCTATTTAAAGATATAATCTAAGCATATGTAAAAGAAAACAAACATAAGTAGATATTTAATAAATTTATATAATCAGCTAGGTTTATCAATTAATAATAATTAATAATGATTTTAAAAAAAAATGATTTATTTTTGAAAAATACTTTATTTAAGACAGATACGTATGAGTTTCAAGACAGATTGCTGAAATCGTATATGATTAGGTGGAATAATGGGTATTTTTTTCCTATTAAACCTATTGCCGATAATATGCTTTCAAGGTCAGCATGTACTTCTTTCATCATGTCTTTCTTGAACTCATATCTCGTACATCACTAAAACTTTTAGTTCGTATTATTTAGTGATAACAAAATCAACTTAATAACACTACAAAATTTTTTATATACACTAAACATGTTAAAAGTCTAAAAAGACTATTATACTTGAACTAATATAAATAAATAAATAGTAAAAAAAATTAAATTTTAAAATAGTGAATTAATTATTATATGTAAAATATCAAGTTTTTGTAATCTGCTTGCTTCTTCTTGCAATAATTTATAATTACCGTTATAAGCTTCGCGATCCGTTTAAAATTTTGGCATCCAGGAAAAAGTGATTCCATTTTTTAATCCTATTTCTTTTTTTTATCCTATTCTCTAATCATCAATCATAGGTAGCTGCTTGTTCGCAGTTTTTTCTGTATTATTAATCCATTTGGTATTACGGCTCCAAATTTTTTGCTTTGATATCAATTTCAGGGAATTACGATCCTATTACATTTCCTGCTTACAAATTGCACCAAATCTTCCATTTCTGTTGATGTAAATATATTTAATGAAGGTTTTCCTGCATTTCCTTTCTCAATGCATGTACATTTTTATCGGTAAATACGAACTGCTTCTGATATAAAAGATCTCCTTCAAAATGGTCTTAAGAGTGCAATCTAAAAAATATCTATTTGACTATATATTTAATGGAGTTCGAATAGATTCATTATATCTGTAATAGGATGTGATAATTTTTTTGAAAATATCGCAATGACGATTCGCCACTCAACTCAACGCGAATATCAATTTAAAATCTTGAAATCTCCAAAAAATATTAGCACAACTTTGAGAAATATGTCTTAGTATGTGTGTGTGTACATACTACATGTGTACATGTATTTGTATGAATAAAAAAGAAGTCATGCAATTATTTATCTATTTTTAATATTCAGTGTTAAAAAATTATGTTGTATGACATTTATAATTCTCAAGTACTTTAAAAGTTATTTTAATTATATTGTAATATAATTTGAGAAAAGATCCGTGAAATATTGAATTAATTTTAATGGAGACTTACTTAAAGAAAGATTTGAAATTAAAACATGCGATGGGTTAGAAATGTAATTGGAAAGTGTACTTTTTTTTAAATATTTTAAAGACCAAAATGTTTACACATTTTACATAATTTATATGCAGTAAAACGTTGTCAATGTGCGACATAACTTCATGCTTAAACGATGTTATTTCTGTTTGCATTTAAGCAGAATATTTATGAATTTTATATCACTAATATCTTTTATATCATTTATATCATATCATTTATATCATGTCATTTATATCACATCATTTATATCATTTATATCATTTATATCATTTATATCATTTATATCATTTATATCATTTATATCATTTATATTATTTATATCATTTATATCATTTATATCATTTATATCATTTATATCTTTTATATCACTTCTAAATAAGTGTTTGAAAATTATAAGTTGCGTTATTTGGCTGCGTGGGATCTTTAATGACAATGTATTGGATTCTGTTGGATGTGCCTATCTAAACGGAAATTAATACCTAAAATAAACTGGATAGAGTATATCCTGCACAGGAAGGACAACGACATCGGAAAATGGATTTTTAGTAAACTTAGTAGTGCCCACTTCAGATTTCGTGAGTTAACGTTCATTAACTCCAAAATTTTCTGAAGTGTAGCTGTTGTACATGTGTTCGTCTCTCTTACAAACTTTTACCGTAAGAAAACAAGAAAGTACCTTTTACGTTTTAATTTAAAATTGTTTTTTTTTTATATTCACTCGTAGTATAGCAAAATGATTTCCAATTCTGGCATTATCGAGACATAATCATAAATCGCTTTAGGTGTCTCTCATTATTCGCATATATCACACAAATTAGTAATTGCTGCTGCTCTAAAAGTATATATGGAATATGACTGCTCTCTTTTCCCTCTCACCATAAGAAACCTTAAGTTTAACATATGGTATGAAGTGGGTAATACATTGTAGAATATAGGGACACATAAGATTTTGTTTGCGTTCTATGCTCCATCTTGGAGTGCCAATGTATGCCATTATTATTTATTTTTCGTATTGTTTTATTTTATTTATATTGAAATATTAAAAAAAAATAAATATTTTTTGGAAATATTGGAATTTTCTTTATTATTATTTTTAGTTTTATTTTATATGATTATAAATAATATAAAAAATAAATGAGTTTGTGAATAAAAAACACTACGTACGAAGTACACAGTAGTTACGAAGTAGATCGATTATCTTATTTTATAACAAATAAAGTAAATGTTTTTATTAACATATTTTTTATATCAATTAAAATAATATAAGACAAAAAATGACTTCTATATCGGTAAAATCAAAACAAAAACAAATAACTTTTTTTTTTTTAATTTAATTTTATTTTTTATATAAATGTTTCGAAGAGTAGTGGATTGAAATAACAAAAATTTT